GGTGGAAACAGTATCATTTTTCAAATCAAAGATTCTCATTATCTTGACTGATAGTAAACACATTTTCCGGAAGTAAAGTGTAATATCAGTGATTTTTTGATTCTGCCATGTCGGTACCCTTGTCCAATATCTCCAATGTAATTTTTTTTTCTTGCCTAAGTTTCTGAGATCTCACATTGTGATCCCTGGTTTTCTTAACATCTTCCCCGCCCCGCCCCGCCCCGCATCCCCCATGTGTCTTCTGCTTTTCATTTTTTCACAAACTCACTCTTTCTAGTTTCTCATCCACCCCTATGTTTCAATTACAATTCATATCTAGACTAATTTATATCAAGACTACTAGATCTTTATTTCTAGTCAGCTCATTCTTCTATAATTTTAAGCTATATATTAAAGTAACTACAGAAAATTTTTACTCAATTGTCCTATGGTTATATCAAAATTTCTCCCAAAGCTGCCCTTTTATCAGTGTTCCTTACTGTAACTGAACAAGTTGTGCAAGAAAGATGGATCGATATCGTCTTTATTCCCTTCGTTTCTTTTACTCTCCATGTTCAATGTTCAGGAGTCCTGGTGGTGCAAATGTTAAGTGCTCGGCTACTAACTGAAGGGTAGACGATTTGAACCCACCCAGCAGCTCCTGCTGGAAAATAGACCTGGAGATCTGCTCCCATAAAGATTATAGTCTAGAAAATCCCATAAGGTAGTTCTACTCTGTCACATGAGTCGCTGTGAGTCGGAATTGACTTCATGGCACCTAACAACAGCAATGTCTAGTCAATCTTTAAGTCTTGTTGATTCCATCTCCTAAATATCTCTTTAATGTGATGATCTCTCTCTATCCTCACTTTGGCTACCCTACAAGAGACCTAACATCTCTTCTGGAGTGGACCTCAGACAGTTCTACTGGGGGACTTTCCCATAAAACCAAACTGCTTCATCCAATCTCACAGAAAGCATGCAGAGATATGCCACAGTTATGTTTCATCGCTCTGTTAGGTAATCCTGTAGATATGTAGACCATTTTCAGGTCAGATTTTAGTACTGGGGCAACGGCCAGAAGAATATATAGTGTGTCCCCTTGGAAATGGTGTACTGGGGGCATTACTTATTAAGTATATTTCAATTAATTGATCACTTATATCAATTAATACTCAACATCTGTATATTGATTTATAATTTATAATACATTTATAGTTTATAATTTTATTTAACAATTTATTCCTCATCTAATCCTGATGGTAGATTGCACTGCTACTTGCTTTGTAGTCATGGAAAATGAAACTAAAATATGTTAAGTGATTGCTCCAAATCATAGTGTACGATAGTAGTTTCTTTGACCAACTGTCAAAAAATGTATGTTTTATAATGGCCACACCTATTATTCTTGGATAAGTGAGCATTGGACTAATTTTTTCATCAGGACATTTAATCTGGGCATGACATTTTACTAAACTGGGCTCACTTGTGCTTCCTTTGCTAGAGGAAAGCAAAACTGCAACTAATTGACAGAGGGAAAATGATTACCTTTCTTCCTATAATTATCTTTAAAGTCAAGTACTATTTGTAGTTCCATAAAATGATTATGCTGAAACTTATGAAACTGTCACTATTTGACCATTTTTGAGCTACACAACATTAATTTCATTTACTTTAACCTAATATATTATCCTTCAAGATTTTCACATGCTATTCTTTTGTCTGGATCACCTGCTAAAAAACTTGTTGCCATCAAGTCGATTCTGACTAATAGTGACCCTATAGGACAAAGGAGAACTGCCCCATCGGGTTTTCTAGGCTGTAATCTTTATGGAAGCAGATTCCCACATCTTTCTCCCACAGAGTGGCAAGTAGGTTTGAACCGCCAACCTTCTGGGTAGCAGTTAAACACTTAACCACTGTGCGACCAGGGCTCCTTGTCTGGATCATACTTTTTCAAGTAATTTATATTTTTATTTAATTGTTAATATGTTGATGGTTGGAAACCCTGGTGCCATAGTCATTAAGAGCCATGGCTGCTAACCAAAAGGTCGGCAGTTCAAATCCATCAGGTGCTCCTTGGAAACCGTATGGGGCAGTTCTACTCTGTCCTATAGGGTTGCTATGAGTCGGAATCAATTCGATGGCAGTGGGTTTGGTTTGGGTTATGTTGTTGGTTGTTGTTTTGTGCTGTCTGGTAGATTCTGACTCAAAGCAACCCTGTGTTAGTATATAAGTATATAAATATTAGTACAAGCATCAATTGCAGTACTCCTACAATGGCAAAATGTCTCTCCTACATCAAAACTGAACTATTCACTCCCAACCCCCAACCCCCAACCCCAGTTATTTTTGGTCTATATCTATTTTATAACAATTGTAGAACTTATTATAATGGTCTTTCTCTGTATTTTATGGGGCATTTTGTTTGTTTGTTTTCTTTATGTATCTGACGTCTTTTATAGCAACTTTTTGTATTTACGTGCCAGAATCAATCTAGAAGCTAAATGTGTCCCAGGGGCCAGAAGTACTTCTCATATACTACTCAAATGTTTTCACAAAGGCTGTGACAAGAGCTTGTATTTAAATTATCATCCACCCAATTTACTTGCATAAGATACTTAACTTACTTGAGGCTTAATACAAGTATTTATAAAATAGGAACAATAATAGGATTTATTCCGTAGGATCAATGTGAAGATTAGTTAAGATAATACAGGGCTTGACCTATAGGTAAGCTTCCATTAAAAGGTGGTATTTCTAGACTCTCTATGTGGACACAACATATTTCCACTATAGATTTCAAAGCACTGCAACAGAAAGTAAAGAGAATAATAAAGATCTGGGCTCTCAAAATTTGTCACAATTATTGCTTATTTTTCAGCTCCTCGAGCCAAGGCTGTTTTTTGTATGTATTGTGTTTTTAATTTGGCTTTGTTTCTCCTATAAATGTAAAAGCAAGTAATAGGTTCCAGGTAAACAGATACAAGTAAATAGCTTAGAAATCTAGGGTGTATCTTTGTCTCTTTCCCTTCCTCCCTGTTTAATCAATGCAACAAATAGGGATTTGTCTTAAAATTTTATTTGAAAATTAAAACAAACAAAAAACTTCCCAATGTAACATGAAAAAGAAAAATGAACATTGCCTGGTCAAGATTTGCGGGACTATTAATGCTGACTCTGCTTAGAACTTTGCCATTTCATGAAAAGTGTTCATGTTCAAAGTTAGTTCAATAGTATAATTGATACGTGAGTTGTGACTGATTTTTTTACACTAGTGGTTTTCTATTTTTGTCCAGCAGTTTAATCTAATAAAATATTTAATCTTATGGGAAGCCTGAATTACAAAACAAATCAAAATGGAGGTTTGATCATTGTAAGGGACAGATGTGCTGAAACCCTGCTCGTTTAGTTTACCTACCTATGTATAGGATAGTTTGACTAATTAAAAGTATTGTAAAATATATACAAAGTCAAAATCTCTAGTGTTTACAAGTTTTCATACATGAAAGGGAGGCATTTTATTTATAAAGATGCACATGTTTAATATAGAACCTCAGAATTTCCTTATCTAAAAATCAAGACTGCATATGCTAACAAGACAAACATTAAATTTCACATTTTGCTATCAATTTCCATTAACAAATATGCATACAACGAGATTACTCACAACATACAGAGCCACCTCCTACGAAAATCCCCAATAGAGAATCTTTTCATGAAGAAAACACCTAACAGACATGTACTGATTGTGAAGCAAGCTCTTAAACAAGCTAAGAAATTTAATGTAAAAGTGAACCCTAAAATATTAGTATCTCCATTTTTTAAATAAGTTTAGAAACCCAAAACTCAGAGAATAACTAAATTTTCTAAGGTCATACAACTAGTTAAGTGGCAAAGCCATGATTCACAATATCAGACTGCCAAGCCCTTGCCCACCACCCTGTATAAAATCTTATGAAAATAAAAGCATTATGATGCAATATTCGCATTTATTATTATAAGCACAGAATGAATGAAAATATTTTCCTTTTATTCGATTATGTAATTAATAGTATATTATAATTTAATTAGAATGTGTTATGAGGAAAAGACAAATCAAGGAAATCTGTACAAACTGCAGTAGTTTCACAAGGCTATTTATTCATGGGGAGAGAGAACTATTTTTTGAAGAATAACATAAATTTGGATCTGTCATTTCTTTGTCTGGCACCTTGTTAAGGTTTTCTTAATTCTTGAAAATTCAAAATGGTAACTTCTGTAATCAATTTAATTTACAGAATTAATCACAACTGCACTTAGTGATCTTGACTTCATCTCTCTTTTTTTTTTACTACAATGAATTACTTAAATAACATACTCATGTCTTGAAAGAAAATAATTAATTGAAAACTGATTTGTTCATATCTGAATTACTTGACCTTCTATGATCTGAGATATCAAGAGAAATTGTTTGATGTAGAATACGTTTCTCATACTCTTTATGAGTCAAAAGAAATCACGTACATCATCCCTAAGCTTTAATGCATTGTTTCCTTAAATCAATTAAAAAGCTCATTACTTTCACGAATTCTTTACTAAGCCAGTAACTCTACCACAGCTATGCTATTATATAAGTAGGAAATACATAACATCAGCAAATCATAATGACTGCCATTCAGATAAGGAAGGACTAAGGAAAGAAGGAAGGGAGAAATACAGAAAGTGAGGGAGGGAGGAAATCTTGAATAAAGACAGCAATGCTTTGAGAATTTCTAACAAGTTTAGCATATGGAATTCACCTGATCATCAGCAAGAATTTGTGTATCATGTGTTATCATAACACTCCTTTGAAAGGGGTAAGTGAATGTACTTTTAACCTGACAAAAACTAATCTGACAGTCATCTCTGCAAAGTCCCTAATGATTTTGGTAAAGCAGTTATAATAAAAGCAAAAAATAAAAAAAAATACAATGGCAGCAATTTTTTCCTGAATCGTGCGCGCACACACACACGTATATATTCATCTTCATTTTTTCTAGGTAATTCAGACCATCAGTGCAGTGGATAGAGATGAGTCTTTAGAAGAGCACCATTTTTACTTTAATCTATCTGTAGAAGACACAATGAACTCAAGTTTTACAATCATAGATAATCAAGGTAATACCATTTATGCATAATTATTTTTTAAACCTTCTTCTTGATTCACGTTTGATTTTAATAAAATTTATAACATTAGTTTTTATACTGTTCCTACAACATGACAATGTTGAGAAATAGAGCAAAGGAGTGACAATGAAAATGGAAAACAACACCCAAATTCAGGTAACGAAAAGCTGGTTCCTTGTCCCTCACTGCCTTTCTTCAAATGAAAAGCACCTTTTTTGTCATCCGGGACTATTGGCCCTTGTAAAAATCTCAATGGCCCTGTAAATTTACTTAAAGCTCCAACACCGTGGTTCCTCTCATGTTCTCATACAACTCAAAAATCATTCCACGACTGGGGAAGAGATCATATATACTTAACTTACAGTCATATTAGCTTGAATGATTCAAAGATATTTGGAGTCATTAATTAGGAGCTATACATTTATGAAATTGGTTTGAGGTTTTTTCTTTCCTTCATACATTGGAAATAATTTCATCAATATAAAGAGAAAAGTGTCCAGAAGGATTTTGTGTGGAGAGACAGAATTTCTTTACTCTCCAAGTGGAAATGCATTAAATTTATACAAAGTCACTCTGTTCATCTTTTTATAGCTTCAGTAGAAGATTTTTTGACCTCATGTGGATTTCTAGTTTAATTTCTCTTTATATCTCAAATATGTAAAAAACCATAGGAGTTATTACTCATGCATTTATAATCAAATACCATGCACTTGCCCTTCCTTACAATTGCACTGAAGCTTCAATCCATGGAGAATCTTTTGTGGGAGAGTAAACGTAGACAGGTTTCTCTCCCTTTTGTCCTTATCGAATTCCCCCATGAAGGGAATTGATACATACTTAGGATACATAGCACAAATGCCGATATACAAAATAAGTTCTACCTTAGATTTGTTTGCATTAATATAAAATAAGTTACTAAGGCAAAATAAATGCATTGAAACATAAAGAAAATAATTTGGTTTAATGTTTGTGGTTACAAGAAATTCAATTAAATATATTTTGAAAAAAATGTAAACTTTCTTATATCTCTTAAATATGTCTAGTAAACAAAATCACATGAGGTTCATAGTCTTCAAGAGGATAATGAAGAATTACTGTAAAAAAGGTGATTTTGAAAAAGTCATAAATAAGCATATATTTCAAAAGATTTCCATTTCTTTGCTTTTCATTGCAATAGTCTTCTAAAATTTATCTGATAGCTACAGTAAATATTTTTGTGGCATAGTAATCAAAAAAAGAGAAAAAAGTAAGGAAAAACATAGTTTTGAGACACAAGAAATTGCACTGAAAAGGGTTATTTAGAATATTTTGGATTGAAGTAAAAACAATTTCAATGTGCTTGAAGTATACATTGTTCTTTTTTTGTTTTTTTTAACGTTCTGTATAGATGAATGAATCAATATGACAAAGGTTGAAGAATTTTCTGCATTTTATGTAAAAAAATTGTTAATAATGCCAAAGTGAATGAAATAGGATTTTTCCTATTAATAACATTAACCCTTTTGTTTCATTAGTAAATACACCATTTGAGATAATTTGCTGATAGATCACTTTGAAAATCTAGTGTATTTGCAGTATTCGTGAAAACAATGGTTTCTAGCTATGAAAAAAGCACTGTGTATCCCGTGTAATTAATTCCAATGAAACTGATGCCGCCATCATACATTTAGTCTTGGTAGCACTTATAAAATATTGGTTTTTAATAAAAAACTATTTTCTTTTCTGTGTTCCACATATATTGTCCCTATCTGGAATGGATTTAAAAAATTCATCTAATTACAGAATTAGAGTTCAGGTAATGTCAAAAACAATAAAGATATTTTTTGGTGGATCATTACCTTTTTATTAGAAATCACCTCTTCCTTTTATTGGCTCTTACTTGATCATACTGCTATAGTATTACCCCAAGTACTATGATTGTATGAGTTTCTTTTATATTATTTAAAAAATTATGTACATGGATTTTTGTTTTAGACAACACAGCTATAATTTTGACTAATAGAACTGGTTTCAGCCTTCAAGAAGAGCCTGTCTTCTACATGTCCATTTTAATTGCTGACAATGGAATCCCACCACTTACGAGCACAAACACCCTTACTGTATATGTCTGTGACTGTGATGAGAATGGCAGTACACAGATCTGCAGTAACAAGAAACGTATGCTTTCCATGGGATTCAGGACAGAAGCCGTAATTGCTATTCTAATCTGCATTATGATAATATTTGGTAAGTAGTTCTCAGTGGAACATCTCTTCATTTATTTAAAATAACGTGATGCATATATGAAAAGACTTAATTCCAAAAGAGCAGTATTGTCTGTGTGTGTGTTTAACTGCTCTTCTGAATGTGTTACAATTATTAAACCAGACTAAGTAAAAAATAGAACTGATAAATTCACATTTCAAGCTGAAATTCACTTATCCCTGAACTGTAGGAGCATGTGATTATGTATGTGTACATCTGTTTATGCATGTTTTTGACACATTTTCACTGCAACAAATGTAAGATATACATTAAAAAAAAAAACAATAATGGTGAGCTTCTGTTGAGTGCTTATTACATTCCAGGAGACTGTTGAAAGTGCTTTATATTCGTTATGCAATTTAATTCTAACAAAAAATTTCTAAAGTAACAACTATCACCACCTGCACTGTATAGATGAGGAAACTCAAAGTTGAAGAGTTATGTGCCTGCCTAACAGTCATGCAACCTAGTAAATGATGTACTGAGATTCCGTAACTGTAACACATCCCTGTGAACCACCACAGTGTAGCTGACTAGAAACATTACAAAAGAGAGTCAAGGTGAGCATTGAGGAAGGTAAAAGACAGAGTCCTAATTAATCAGAGTGCTACCAAAAATAAATCTTAGTAAAAGAGTTCCATTTTGTTTGTTTGTTTCCAGAACCAGATAAGTTAGTTTACTCATTTTACAGTTGAACCCCAAAATGTCTTAGTCAAGCTTTCAAGACTGTAAATGATTCATCTAACATAACCCTTTCCTCTTCTTTAACACACCAGTATATGTCATCTAAGCTCTGCTCTTGCTTGTCTGATAACTTTTCATCACGTCAACACGACATCATGAGTCTTGTGAGCCATTATGTCAGCTGCTCATTCTGGAATCTCACCCTCACCACTCCAACTAAGTTTGACTATGTTTCAGGACTTAGTTTGCCTTCATTCTCCTCATCTTTCTTAAAGCTTCAAAAACCATGCATTCCTGTTTTACCACTGAACATTACCATGCGTTTCGTCCCAGCTCCAGTTTTTCAAATTGTTTTCGATGATCTGTTATAATAAACCAGAATTTAGAACTTCATAGCTAGATATCAGAAACAAGAAGCATAAACACAGTGTGTGGTTGAGGGACCGAACCATTTACAGGTATAGTCCTAAACCAAGTCCAGAACCCTACAAATCAACAAGAGGCTGCCTCACAGGCAGGCAAAGGCATGAGTATTATTTACAGGGTGGGAAGTGTGGGAAGTATGGGTCAACTAATAGCAACATCCTTTGAAACTTCATGATTCCTCTGTCAAAATTATGAATTGGAAAGCTATTCATTATACTATTTTCTATATCAAGCACATATCTCAAATGAGTTTAAAGTCCAGTACCTGAATAGAGATATGGTGACTTTATTTATTCCAAGAGAACTATTTCAAATTGTTTAAATGTAAGTTGTATATAAAAGACTGCATGATGTATTTATTTTATGATAATATTAATACTTCATTTTGTTTTAAGCCCCACATATGAAATTCTGAACAGCTACATAAGCAGCAAGGCAGAGTGAGAGTTGGCTATCTTTGAAACACACAGGGTACTCTTTAAAACAAAGAGTATTCTGACATTTTTTTATTTCTACATAATACCGAAAATTATCTTATGTAATAAATATTGACTCTGAACAAATTAGTCTTATGATTCAAAAACCTGGTAGTTTGGAATTTCTGAAATTAATAATATATCACAGAGCTCAGGATCTGATCCAACTTTCTGGTTGAGTCCCATCCATCTACTTACTAGCTGAGTGATCCTGGCCATCCTATTAAAGGTCTTTGTGCCCCATTTCTCTCAACTTTAATAGATGACAGTAATAATATATGTATATCATAAAGAACCCTGGTGGCCCAATGGTTAAGCAATCGGCTGCTAACCTAATATGTCTGCTTTCAAACCCACCCAGTGGCTCCCCCTGGGGAAAAGACCTGGTGATTTGCTCCTTAAAAATTACAGTCTAGAAACACTAGGAGGCAGTTCTACTCTGTCACATGGGGTCACCATGAGTCGGAATCATTCCACTCACAGCAGCAGCAATGACAACATCATCAAAGGATTCAGTAAATGAATAAATGTAAAGCTTTCAGAACAATGCCTGGCACATACTTTGTAGCCAGTAAATATTAAATTAAATATTCTGGTATGTTTTCATTGTCAGGGTTTATTTTCTTGATCCTTGGTCTAACACAAAGACGAAAACAGACTCTATTTCCTGAGAAAGGTGAGGATTTCAGAGAGAATATATTCAGGTATGATGACGAAGGCGGAGGAGAATCGGATACAGAGGCATATGACATTGCAGAGCTGAGGAGCGGCACCTTCATGCGGGAACGCAAGACTCGGAAACACACCACCTCGGAGATCCACAGTCTGTACAGGCAGTCTCTGCAGGTGGGCCCAGACAGCGCCATATTCAGGAAGTTCATTCTAGAAAAGCTCGAAGAAGCTAACACTGATCCGTGTGCTCCTCCTTTTGACTCCCTCCAGACCTACGCTTTTGAGGGAACAGGGTCATTAGCTGCATCATTAAGCTCCTTGGGATCCGAAATTTCTGATCAGGATGAAAACTATGATTACCTTAATGACTTGGGACCTCGCTTTCAAAGATTAGCTTGCATGTTTGGTTCTGCAATGCAGTCAAATAATTAAGGTTTTTCTTTTTATTATTATTAAAATGTAAAAGATCCTAAAGTGTGCATGGGTAAATTGGTAGTCTCTTGGTAAAGAGGTAAACTACATGTGGTGATAACGCCCTTGGTTGTGTACTGATAATCGGCTCTATTTTGGTATATATGGTTTGTTGATTTCCTTGGCGTGCGTAGCCGGTGGAACGCTGGTGGAGCGGTGGTTAAAGCGACCAACTGCTAACTGAAAGGTTAGCAGTTTGAAACCACCAGCGACTCCATAGGAGAAAGAGGTGGCAGTCTGCTTCCTAGAGATTTACAGCCTTACAAACCCTATGGGGTCACTATGAGTCGAAACCAACTCAACGGCAGTGGGTTTGGTTTTGGGGTATTTTTTGTTTCTTTGTTTTGTCTTTTCAAGCTACCCAGGTGACGACAGTGATTGCAGAGTTTGGGAGAGATGTTCATCAGCTCTCGGGTGCCAGTACCAGCTGGCTTTAGCATGTCACTGAAGCACTCCACCAGCTTTCTTTCAATAAAATCCAGTCCAAATTCTCAAAATTTGCATTGCAAATCCAGGAAAAGCACTGGATAGGCCATCTGAATATTATTTCATTTTTCTATTTTTTTTTAAATTTACAAAGTAGAAGTGTTTATGTATATTAAGTTACTGATACTGAGTAAAGATAATCTTAAACACCTAGGAGATTATGGGTGATTGCATAATATCTTTTAAAAGCTATTTTCTTTATATGAATAAATTGACTCCTGACAGAGATTCTGTATTGCATTCCAGTTTGATATTTTAAAACCAATATCAAATTTGGACAGATACATGGTATATATTAATCAAAATTACGCTGCATACATTTGTATTGTTTTTGATATTACGGTTTTGTATAAAAAGGGAACGTGAAAGTGTTTGTTTAAGAAGTTGTCATAGATTATTTTCATATGCAACCACACATACTTTTATATCAAAACACAGTGGCAGAACACACGTCAACATTTGTTCATCATTAAATTTAAACTTTATAAAACTTGTGGAAAGTGGGTAAAATCTCCAAGTAAATTTTATTGTAACTAAAAATGATACAGAAACCTGAAATGAGTAGCAGATTAAAGCTTGAATTAATATTCATCTTAAATATGATGATCAATTGCACTGCCTTTTATCATGCATGAAATAAAACATGATACAATTCTCAGCATTTCCTTTTTCATCAAGAGCTTAGAGTATGACTGATCCTTCAGTGTCATTTTTTTTATTATCCAATATAAAATTAGGTGCAATAGTAAGTTTTATTGCAACATTATGAAGGAAGTAAATGCTAAGCTGCTGGACATAAAGCTTTATGGTAACATTAGGTAATAAAATAATAAAACACTTCAATTTTAATCCACCTTCTAAAGAAAGATCTTTCTTCTACCCAAGGTGGGATTAAAAATTCATAGTTTGATCAAAAACAAATTAGTGCATACAATATTCTTAAAATTAGTTTATATGATCATTTCTGTTTAATAGTATGTGAAGCTGAGCTGAATCAAATTGGCCGTGTATGTTTAAATCAAATATTTCAAATAATTTTGAGCTATGGATACAGTAGTTGGATGAGTACAATTTTTTTTTTTCTTTTCTCTATTCTTGGAGCCCTGGTGGCATAGTGGTTAAGAGATATGGCTGTTAACCAAAAGGTTAGCAGTTTGAATCCACCAGCTGCTTCTTGGAAACCCTATAGGGCAGTACTTTGAAATTTAAATATCCATATGTATAGTTTTTCAACAACCTGAATCAGGCACCATTGCATTGGTGACATAGATATCACAACATTAAAAAAGCCAGAGCAATTCTGATTTGAAACATAATGATTTGGGAAAATAATAAAAAGTAAATGAGAGAACAGAAACTTCAGTAAATCCCTAGGCATTCATATCATTATTTACTTAGGAAAGAGTCAAAAAAAAAAACAAAAAAAAACAAAAAAAGTCTTCAAAAAGAGCAAAAACTTGCAAGTAAAATAGAAATATTCAAGCTAAGAAAAAAATTTATATTTTATCATATTAATATACAACATTGAATGCAAATAGTTATAGAGATTTTCATGAATTTTTCCATGTTAAAAATACTGCTACATGCTTTTGAATGAAGAACTGGAAAGTATGATAAACAACGGATTAAACAATCCATGGAAAATAGATTGGAAAAAAGAAATAGGGTCTTCTGGACATCGAACTAGATTCTTCCATGGATGAAAGCCTTATAAACAACTTGCAAACTTGGATGAACAGGTTATAAAAAATGTATATTGATCTAATATCTGCCCCAATGTGTTTAATGCTTGTGCCCAGTGGCACCAAGCAGACGTACCAAAATGCTTTCTGGTTTAGTTAATGTTACGATTATCAGTCATATACAACATAGGAAAAGAGCATGAATGGCTGCATAGCTATTTGCTAGCTTAACAAGTGTTCTTTAAAACTATATCAAAAATATTGTGATTCTAGTAGAGAAGTTGTAATTTACTGAAAATTATACTTGGTAATATCTTAATAGTGACTTCATCTCTTTTCTAGTCACATAGCTGTTACAGGAATACAATTAGCCATTTCCTAATAGCAAAGGTATTAAAGATCCCATTTTTGTAGGTTTTAATAAAGGCTAAATCAATGCAGATATTTATGAAAATAGCGCAGATTCACATTAATACCCACAGTACTTAAACATCACCCACAGCTGACTCACAGGTTTACATGTAAACCTTAAATTACTAAGTGTTAAAATGTGAAAATATTTAGTCGTCTTTTAGGAATCAGGGAGTTGTGAGGTGGCGCAGATGGTTAAGCACTCAACTACTAACTGAAAGGTTGGTGGTTTGAATCCACCCAAAGGTACCTTGGAAGAAACACATGATTGATCTGCTTCTGAAAGGTCATAGCCATGAAGACCCTATGGAGCAGTTCTACTCTGCAACACATGGGGTCTACATGAGCTGTTCTCAACTCGAAGAGAACTGATAGGAACCAGGAAATATTAGCAAATGTGATTGAGCCTCATAGATCTCAGTTTGAATTAGTTCTCTTACTCCTTATAATTATCTGAACTTTGTCAAACTACTTAATTTTTCAGGGCCTCAGTTTGTAATATGTAAAATGAAGTCCACTCTACATAATTCCCATGGTTGTTGTGAAGAATAAATAATAAGATATGTAAAACCATCCGCACAATCAGTGCCTGGCAAAACGTAAGAACTCAATGAGTAACACTGCATCATTGCTATTGTGGATGCTTTTCTGCTGGGGCACCAAGAGCCCTTTCATTTCTAGCACTGAGAGATCCTGATGGCTTCCCAGCAAATTTCCAGTACAAATCAACCTCCTGATCTGGCTCACAAGGTCACCTATTGTTCGGTTCCTGATTATTTCTGCAATCTCCCTGCTTCCACTCTAAACTTCAGTTACTTTACTCAAGGACTTTTTTTTTTTAATATAGTTTATTTTATTTATTGTTGTTGTTGAGAACATATCAGCAGAACATATACCAATTCAACAATTTCTACATGTACAATTCAGTGACATTGCTTACGTTCTTCAAGTTATACAACCATTCTCAGCTCCCTTTTATGAGTTGTTCCTCCCCCATTAACATAAACTCACCGCCCTCCCAAGGTTCCTATCTATTCTTTGGAGTTGATGTTGTCAATTTTAACCCATATAGATAGATCTTAAAAGAGCACAATACTCAAGGCAGACATTCTTTACTAGGTAAGCTAAACTATTGCTTGGTTTTAAGAATCCTTGGCTTTTTGATACACACCAAGCAGGTTCCAACCTCATGACCCTTAACAGGATGTGCTGTAGACCTGAAACACTCCTCCCCCAAACCCTGGTATTTTTCATTCCTACACTTCACTCAGGTCTATGATCAACTGCACATTGCTCCGAGAGCCTTCCTGACAACGGCCCACGTACCGCCTGTGGCCATTGCTCTCTTTGTTTTTCATCCAATCATTTGTTGTTGTCATTAGGTGCCTTTGAGTGAGTTCCGACTCCTAGCAACCTTAAGTACAACAGAACAAAACAGAACAGCCCAGCACTGTGCCATCCTCATAATCACTTAGCCACCCTATATTATATAATACACTTTTTGGTCATTGAATTGCCTTTCTCCCTTATTAGAATGCAAACCCTGAGCGGGCAAGAAATTATCTGCCGTGTTCATTTGTTGTTGTCTACAATTGTTTCTAGCACATAGTAAGTACCCAGTAAATATTTCTTAAATGAATGTAATAATGAATCCCACTCTACTTTACTTACAGTATTGTGCGTAAGTCATATTGACTTTTGTGGAACATAAATATGGAATTAATGTATTCCTCAAAATAGGTTAGTACTGGGTAGCTATCGTATACAATAAAGCTTTTTCAGATTCTTTCTAGAAATTATGCAATACGAGTTTGGCATTTCAAGGTCTTTATACCTGTTGTTAAACCTGGGGGGAGGGGAAATGTTGAGAAAGTTATACCGTTCAGTCAAAACATGTGTTTGATGATTATTAGAGCACATCTTTCATAGAATTAACAAGTTCCTATGCAGTGTGATGAATATGAAAGCATGTAAGTTGTGTGAGGATTCTATCTACTTCCCATTTTAGAGTACAACTCGGAATAAATGCACGGTTATGCTTGCTGGGCTACTCAAAACCTATTAAGCATCTTCAACTTCTTTTATAGGATATATAAGCGAACTAGATATCAACAATGAGAAAGGCAGGGAGACTAATTAGGTAAATGGAGGAAAGGAATATATGGCTTTTTATCTATCTAAATTATCTATCTATCTATCTGGTAATAGAAATTATGGTTTCCTGGAGAGGGGAGACTACTGTCTCAGCCACATGGTAGACCCTTGGATCCTATTTGAATTTGTTGCTGCCTTTTTGCCTGGAGAGTTCTGAAGATCAGAGGTTGGCTGATCAGTCTGAAATAGCAGACAAGGTGAGAGAGCAACAGCTGGGCAAAATGCAGTTCCTAGCATTCAGCATGGCACAGCTGCATGAGTTGCCCGTAGGTTAAGTGGATGCAGTTGGAGAAATTAACACAGAAGTCAGGAGGGGGTGATCAAAGCATTCATCTAGAGAATATGTCACACAGGCCGAGGAACAACTGAGACCTCAAGTCCCTGAGGTGTGTGTCTGAATACCCTATGCA